ACATACTCCCCCCCTAAAACAGAAAAATTGGCTTACTGTTTAGTTTTCCTCTCTTGCAAGAAGAAAAATGGAAGTTGGCAAACATTGTGGTAAGGCAGGGAAATCACTCCTGTTTGAAACTGTGAGCGCACGTTTTGGGTTTTTTGGGGTTAATGGTGGTGGCTTTTTATACCCACCTGGGTTATTCTTTGCCTGCAACTGGCCAAAACATCAAAGCCAGCCATCAACCTCGCCTTTAGTTAATGCAAACATCGGCCTTCAAGATAGAAAAAGGCCTGGCTGAAATGCCTCCGTAGGCAACACACAACCCAACACAACAACACACAACAACAACACATATCATCTTTAACTTGTGGTGTCCTTTTCCTAACTTTTCCAAGCAATAGCAAGCAAAGAAAACACAGCCAACGCCCGTCTTAGGTGCATAAACAACATAATTATCAGCCTGTTTTGAATTTTTTTTTTTCCCGTCCGCTTGAAGCCGACGGTTTTCTGTTTTACGTTGGAATGGCCCTAAAATTTGCGGTTTTCCGGTCCTCCGGCTTGGAAACGCTCGTTTCTTGCTTGTTTTTTTGGGCAAAAAACTTAAAACAATAACGGAGGAGAACAGTGGTGCCGTTTGTAAATTTGAATTCAATTATGCTGGTTGGCTTGGCGTAACGTGGGCTTTAAATGTGTTGCCGCAGGAAAAAAGGAAAAGAAATTGTTTAAAAGCAAAAATTTTGCGAAAGGCCGCCCCAACCAGGCAGCCCGGTTTCCTAATCAGGGAGAAAGAGATCCACACACACAACACACAACAAGTAGATGGACAAAAAATTTTGAAATTTTCAAATGGTCTCTCAAACCCTTTGCAACACGCAAAAAACAATATGGTTCAAAAAATTAACAAAATCCACCACTGCAAGCCAACAACTGACATTCAACATCAAGAAGAAGCAGTAAAAATGTTTTTTTTGGAATGGGGCGGATGTATTTTGTTCAGTTTTTTCCTGGCCGTGCCGCCAAAAATGTCCAAAGTGCCGGCCAACCCTGAAAAGGCCATTTAAATTGAAAATTAGAATTTGGAAATTATCATGAAAACGGCCAAAGGCAAAGGCAGCCAAAAAAACAAGAAGAAAATGAGCCAGTCATTACGGGTTGTTTGAAGCTTTGTTTGAATGCCTTTATTGCGCCAGAAATCTTCATTTTGCCCGGGTTGTGGTCCCATTGCATGAATGCTAATCCTGTTTTTGTTCCTGTTGTTGGGATTGTTTTTTGAATTGAAATGAAAGCCGAATTGTTTTGGTTGAATGTCTCCCACTCGCTGGGTTTTTTCTGTTTTTGGCTCTTTGTAATTAACAAGCAAACCATGTAATAATTTTATCATTCCGCTGCTACTTTCCTTTTTTTCAAAGTACCTGTTTTTAACATCACCCGCCGGTGGGGACAGCGCTGAAAAAAAACAGAAAGACGTGTTTTTTTTTTTAATTCTTTTACAAGCAGAAAAAATGTTATTCATTGTTTTAACAGAGAAATTAAATTCTTTTTTAGTCCAAAAACAACAATTTTAAGTGTTCGGAATGGGCAGCGTGTGTGTGTATGTGTGTTTGTTCCAGCAGCCATCAAGGTTGGACTTGCTGACAGGTACTTTCTCCCTTTTTCCTCCACCTCTGTTTGTACTTTCTTGAACTGCCAGCAAGTTCCTTTATGATTGATTCTACACATACATTTCAGGTCTCTATCTCTCTTTATACACACACACACACACACACACACACACACACACACACACACATATAGATATGGGTATATGCTTTTTTGGCTGTCTACCTGTCTTTCCTTTTAACTCCACTTCTTTCTGTGTTTCCCTTAAAGACTACGAAGGCAACACACTCCACATTTTTCACAGGCTGAATTTACAGAGCTAACAGTCACAGTGTGTTTATGCTCTTAAAAATGATTTGAGACTCACAGCACTGGTGGGATTGATGTTAGGCCTCTCCATGGCGATAGTGATGCAATTGAGGAAGATGATGACCAACACAATATGGTCAAACATCTTGTGTGTGATGATCCTATTGCACAGGATCCGAAACCTGACAGAAAATACACAGAAATTTGAAACTTCAGTGACACTGGAAATTGACTTAACATATAAAACAAGCAAGTGTGCGTTTTGGTATGATAAAATGATAAATTACCCCCCAATTACTGCCTTATACTTATAACCAGAAGCTACATATATATATAAATTAGTTTTATGATGTGACAATGCTTGGTTAGGTTTAGGCCTCAAAATGACTTGGTTAGGAGTAGAGAACATTGTGGTTTGCTTTAAAATGACAACTTTGCTAAGGCTAGGGGACTTGCGTCATCATGGTGACAATAATAAACATGTGTTTAAGGTTAGGGAACGATTGTGGCCATGATAATGTAGAGATGCATGCACAAAGGAAAAGCACACTGAAACACAACTACTTTTAAACATTATGAGAGATTTGGATATCAAAAGGTTTTTGGACATATATCAACAAATACACAAATATCACAACAATGACCTCTTCAAGAAAGTGGTTGAACGAATGGAAGAGGGAGGCTATGTTTGCACAGTCGAACAAGTCTGCCACTGGTGGAAAACTTTGAATAAAACCTCTTTTGATGCAAAGAGGCAAAATGGCTTAAGCGACTCCAGCTTTTCCACTTTTACCACGGGAGCAGTACGTCATTAATAGTAAGGTATCGGAGTATGCACAGCTGCATACAAACTGGACTATTAGTGGAATATTCATTTTCAACAGCTTAGTAGGAATATTGTCTTTTTCAGAATGAGGGCAAAAAGTGGAATATTTTGTGCATGTAAACATGTCAATGTAAATACTCATGCAAACACCTAATGCCACTCCAAATTGCAGTTTAGTATGGGCGGGTTCTATAAAACCTCAAACAGTATTACATACTGTACAAGGACATTTATGAAACACTGTGCACACCAGTAATGAAAGATTCAATTTAAGAGAGCTTGTCTCATGTAACTCTGTAATGAACCGCTGTACAATTAGAAGTCATTAATTATGCCTGACTTTCATTACACGACATGAAAAGTTTCCCAGGCTTTGAGCTTGTGACAACAGAGAAAGAAAGAGGGAACGCTTGTTATATATGGCACTGGAAAAGGATTTAACCGTGCATCAAATCCACTTTGATGGCTCATATCTAAGTGTTCAGTGGGGGACAATATTGTGAGGCTGGGATCTGGATTTTTGGCTTTATTTGACAATGAAGACACCATTGTGTCAACACTGCTGAGTGTTTGCTGAGTCTGTGTGTGTGTGTGTGTGTGTGTGTGTGTGTCATCTGACTGTGGTGATTATTATGCATACAGTATACAGACTAGATGAGGTAATTCTTCTTTTCTATCTGCACACCAGAGCCTTGATGCTGTGTTTTCCTCAAGCAGGAGGGAAGGGAGGACACATGGCGAACACACGCCTCCGGTGCCAGCTCCGCTTCCTACGCGTTTTGAGGGGCCAACATCTGACTGAACTTTAATGTCAAGTTCAAATGGGCCCCAAGACTTACAAACCTGCATGCACCAAAAACCTGTCACCCCACGCCCAAGCAAGAAGCAAAAATACCCCTTTCTGTCAGACCTTGGATTTGGAAAAATCACTGACATCTTGATGTTTATATAAAAAGATTTTGACAAGTGTTTGAAGCTTTCCACTCTAATGATATTTACTGACCTTTTGAGTTTTCTGACATCAGTGCCTCAATTGCTTCTAAATGACAGTTGACATAATTGACTTAAATATTGATTAGTGTCAGGTTTGTACTTTTAAAATGTCACCAAGCACGTCCAAACACTACTCTCTTACAAATTTTCTCATTTAAAGTTGTAAATCTATACTTTCTGACTCTTTTTTTTCCACTAAACTGATTTTAACACAGTCAATCCACTCTTCAGTTTCTTCATCTTCATTTTTTAAGTCTTTAAACATGTCTATGGTCTTTTTGCACTGCATTTCCCAGAAATACCCTACCACTTCAACAGTGTAGGTGGTAGTGTTTGCTTGGATCCTCTCTCAGCTGTAGAAGTTTGAGTTTCTTGAGGCAGTTTCCCAGGCAGTGGCATGGCCTCTTTGTGTAGAATAGCTAGAAAAGATAGGAGCCGCTCTTGCTAATTACCCAGTTCTTCTTTTTCTGTGCATTCCAAACAAACCAGAGCCATAAACCGCAACACTTCCTGTGTGCTGGATGACTGCTTTCTAAGAAAGAGCTGGCATATGCTGAGAACAGTTCGTGTATTCTTCAGCTATCGGCTGAATCGCTTTTATGTTACATCAGTCGGCACTGGAAAGTAGGAACACAGAGAGTTTTGACATAAATATGCCACAGATCATTACTTTCACCTCTTACTGTAATTCTGAAATGTCCTCCCTGCTGTTTATTTGTTCTATTTTTATCTGTATCTTATTCTGTGCTGCAAAGATGACCCACTTCCCCCACAAGGTTCAGTCTAGTTCCACATAATCTTATCGTGTACTGTATGAGGGACCACGTGCACAACTCTCAGTGAGCCCCACACATCCCTGGTTCCAGTGTTTGAACACTACATCACAGTATGCTCTCATAGCCGGGCCCACTCCTCCGCTCATTTAAAACTTTCCCTGCAGTAATCATCAGTAGCAGCGGTAACAACGGCAAGCACAAAGGCAGGTTGAGGTGAACTCAGGTCCATGTGAAAAGCCGCTGGATTCCGGGCCTCCCACCACGCTGCTGTCTCTTGATGTGATTGTGAGCACAGGCGGGCGTCCACCGTGGTTCAAGGCCAGAATGGGCGCCACACAGAGCCTGTGTCCTCAGTGTCACTCTCAGCGACAGCCAAAGTTTGTGGCCTGCTGCGATTGAAAGCCAGCTAGAAGCCCGGTTTGAGCCAAGATCCTTCAGTTTTCTTAATACTCTGACAATAACAGGCTACAGGGAGCTTTTCCTATTAACCTTTTCCAAATTATATAATACAGCCAACAGAGAGGAGAACCATTCGAAACTTTTAAAAAGGCTTAAATTCACAGATAGACTCTAGGTCCTCAATGCAAATCAATGGAAAAAATATTCATACTGATAAAGATGTTGGCTGCCTCCCAGTGATTTTACTTTTAAATTTGAAAGGAAATTTAAATTCTCAATTCAGGGAAATATAAACTAAATAATAAAACTGCTGTAGGACATATTTCATTTCAAGTCTCTAGGAGAATGTTTCCCACGGCAGCCAACATTTGTCTTCCATTGTGTGCTACAGACTAAAGAACCTAATAGTGTATAGCTTATAAACACTGATACAAGTAATTTTTCATGCCCATACAGCGCTAGCGTTTTAAGTGTTCTGCCACTTTACAACAGCTGCGATTTAAACTCATCATGGTGCGTCTCAACTCATTTGTAAATCTGACAATGGGGATTATTTTATACTGTTTCTTAAAGTCATTCAATTTCAAACATCCACTCATTTGGCCATTACATGACACTGGTGATGGCTAACATTAAGTTCTCATTGGGTGGCTGCGGCGGGGGACTCATTGTTTGATGTTTAATTAGCATGTTGCGGTGCCGTGGCGGCAGGCTGGGGCCAGCATGTTCCTTGGTGTTGCCTTCACAGCCACATCCTCTAAACAGACAGCAAAGATGCACAGATCAAAGCCTCAGAAGGGGAGGAGGAGTGAGGGAAGAGGGGGGCGAAGGAGGTTGGGAAGCTTTGGATTCAGCACGTGGCTGAGATAACACGGAGCACTCAGTAAGAGAAACTCCTTTCCTCCCTTTGCTCCTACTTACTCACCCCTGACATGGCAGAAATGTGAAGATAAAAGAGACTTTTAAAGTGAGAATGTGGGAGGGAACAGAAGTTGATATAGGAATGACAGAAAAAATTGCTGTGCTTACAATGCGGCAAAAAACCCTGTGCCATTACAGTCAGCATTATGGGATCAGTCAAATGCAATGTTAAGAATCCTCTTCTTGTCAAGAATAGGGCTTAGTCTTTTACTGTACACTGATAACAAAAGACTATCATTTAAAAAGTGCTGTGAACTTGCTAATTTTTGCCTTTTTCTTTCCATTTTTAAAATATACCACTTAATTTATTCAAGCTGCCACAGGAGGAAGTAGTGTACAGGGGCTTTCCTTTTGGAAACTTTCAGAGTGCTGTGTACCCAGAACTTCCATAAATATGTATAAACGCCCATATTATGGAAAAAGAATTGCAGGCAAGAAGTAGAGTTATGGGGGGAATAATACCTTGACTCTGGAGGGAAGAGGTAGAGTGACCAGCTGTCTCTCTGTTGACACCAATCGGGCTGCTTCTTCTCCATCCAGCGGACCAGTCTGGCAAAACGACCCTGGAGGGATTAGGCAGTGCACAGTGCATTCATTATTCATATGTTCACAATTTCCTGTTGCATATTGTGAGCAACAATCATTCTCCACAGATAGAATTTGTTTGTTCTTACAACACTGTTTGTTTCTTTATTAAAACAAGGTTGGTCAAAAACGGGGCCACCTACAAACAAACACAGCTTGGGATCAATAAAGTATATCTATCTATCTAAACACAAGGACATGCTTTAGCCTGATATGATATGCAAATTAAAATGCATAGCTGATTCCAGCTGAGATAATATATTTTTAAAAATGATTATATAAATTCTCTGATGAAATTCATTTGGAGAAGGCTGTAAGACAGGGCTTCCTTCTTTCCCCACTCCTTTTTGCATTGGCAATAAGAGAGAAAACAATGAAACAATAAAACTTCATTTGCAGATGATCTTTCACTGTATTTAACTAATTTGGGAAAATCCAAATTATCTAAAATTGTTGTAACGTTTTTTTATACCTGACTGTTAAAGCCCCTACACCATTAACCACGCCCTGTACCATTATTTAAACCAATCCTAATACAAACCCTAGAATCCCCCCCCCCCCGTCTTTGACATGCTTGGCGGGATATTTTCGTCGTGAAGACAAGTACAAGCAAACATGCAGCCAAACTGACCAGGCTGGGCTCCTCTTCTGCATTTTCGTCTTCAGTATTGTCCTCCAGAGAGACGTGGGTGGGGCCCAGGACTGCCGGAGAGCCCTTCCCATTGCAGTCGCTGTGCCCTGGGGGCCGCGAGTGGCCTAGTGAGGGCGGCCTGGAGCTGTGCATGCTGGCCGAGCGGTACAGGTAGGGCACCTACACAAGGAAAGGGTCTAATGTAAATGCTGCAGTCTCATTATATTTGCTTTGTGCGGGGCTTTTAAATTGGTTTAGATTGGGTAAGTTCTGTTTAGGTTTGTTATCCTCGTCCCTGTAATGTCCTTTCGGTTTGTTTTCTCTTTGGCTTTGTAAAAAATTACAAAAAAACTGCACCATGTTTTGTCCTGCAAAGCAACTTCCCTCTAAGCCAAAAAGCAAGGGTCCTCCAATGGTGTATCCCTGAGAGCAGTGAATGCAGGTTTCTTTTCCAGCCAAACATGACAGCAGGTAAGTTCCCTCATTAACATTCCATCTGCCAGAGGGGACTATTTATCCAGCAAATCCGCCTACTCTAATCTTTTCTCGGAAGCAAAATATGAGTAAAGAAAACCAAATTCAGCCTTTTGTGAGTGATAGTCATTTCTGAGTCAAGTCGTGATTAATGCTAACCTTGTTACCTCAACTGGTGTTCTGCAGAAGGTGTTTGTGTTTGTCTAGGTCGATAAAACTAGCTAACCTTTAATTATATTAAGGTTAAAATGTGTAGAAATATGTCAAAAAGGTCATAATGTTTGTTTTTACACTCACACTCTAAACGCTGTATGAGTTCACTGTGGCATTTTCTGCTTAGAGCTATGACTAGGAATAACACTTTAGTACATCAGAAGAATGCCATAAAAATCTGACAATATAATTTTAAGATGCATTCTAAAATGTACTACTGTCAAGTGAGCAGGACGTCCAGTTTGTGGAGACTGTGGTATTATCGTAGTTCCTACCCCAATTGTGCTCCAAGTTAAATGTTATGCAGTACTACAAATACCCCAGAGAACAGTGAAAGGTAGAACCTGATTGACGTACAGCATCTACCTGCAACAGAGCATCAGGGGGCAAATCCATGGAGCTCCGAGTTTCTACTGACTCCATCCTCCGGTGTCGGGGCCCTCTCTGCGACTGGGACATGGATTCCGTCCTGGCCAGAGAGGCGTCGTCGTCCTCCATCAACCCACCTCCTCCTTCTCCTCCACCTTCCCCATCTTCTGAGCTTGAGCCACCCTCCCCGGAGAGGAGAGACCTTCGCTCCCCAGACTGCCGCTTCTGGCGTTTGAGTGACGGGGCGCGACCCAGGCTGTTCCAACTGGCCCGGCGGCTGGTCCAGCCGCTGCCGGAGCTACATGGGCCATGGGGAGATGAGCTCCGGGCACTGGTCTGCGGCGGGAGGACGGCCGTGAGGGCGATAGGAGGACAGAGTGATAAAAAGCAGGAGAGAGGAAAAGAATAACAAGGGACAGCAAGTAAAAGTGTTGATCTTGAACCTTAGCTCTCTGGCAATGTTGTTCTTTCATGCACATGAACCAAGCTGAATTGGATTGACTCGGCCTGACGTGAGCTGAATTGAATAGAGATTCACGCTGACAGGCAGACAGCAGCAGATGTAGAGATGTGGGCTTATTTTCTCAGGTCTTTAGCCCGATCATCATCTCGTCAAATAAAGAGTGGCAATGGCAGCAGTAAGAGTGTCGGACCGCACGCCACATTAATCATCATCAATCATTATGACTTCCACACATCAGCAGGACACATACAACGAATTCAGAAAGACACTCAGGGGAAAGCTGGATGGTGGTGGGGGCTGGGGGTAATTCCTGGCACTTATCCCTTTACACATGTATTAATGCTGGCTTTCTGACATCCTGGAACAGGGTTATTACACTTGATAACTGCCACATGCTTTTGGTGTGTGTGAGAATAAATATACGAACCGGGGATTTGTCATAGCAGGCTGGGTCTATGGAGACGCTGCTGCCTCGTCGGGACTCGTAGTCCAGTATGGGATCACCTCCGACAGGCAACTTGGGTACAGGCATGGGGGTGGCAGCCGTGTGGGTAATTACAGGTGGAGTCAAGCTGGTCTTCAGGTCCACGTGGCCATTTACAGGCACTACTAGTAAAGAGAGTTAGTTAGGAGTGGATAAGAGCAAAGGGGATTGAAGATGACCGAGGTTTAACGTATAGAATAGGAGAAAATGAATGAGATCCAAGGATAAAGTGGCAGAAGTCAGAGACAAGGGACAGAACAAAAAAAGAAATAAAAATTGAATAAAATTGCAGGAGGAAAAGCAGGAAGAGGTGGCGCACAGGGAGGAGTGCCACAGGGGTCCACCCTCTGTAACGTAGCACAGCACACTTAAAAATGGATGCCTCATACTGTTACTGAGCAACATGAATATTTCAGCAGGGCATTAATCTTATGGGATGCGTGGGAGAGAATATTATGTTTGGCAGTAACACAAATACATGACATGCGGAGGGCAATGCAACTTTAATAACGCTAATTCCTCCGTCTTCCAACCTTTATCCGAGGTCTAGAAGATGTATATTAGGCTCTTCCAGCTATGTAAGCAGTTTTATACAGAGCATCTAAAGGGGCTGAAGGGGAGATGATACCGTACGTCTGGGAGTTGTACTCCATACAGTAGTGTTTCCAATGGGCTTTTCAGTCTGCGCAAACAGTAATTAGAGGGGATGGGAACTGGCGTATGAGGAATTATGGATGAGGCTGCTGTACTGGTTTGATGTTGCGCAGGGAGACAGCAAGGCACGTGCCCACTGAGTATGGTCGAAAACCAATGGGGAAAAGACTGAACAGTAGACCGCAGACATGGAACAGGTGGGGCAATGTTTGCACAGGGTACTTTAAATGCCTCCGACCTTACTTGCTGCCGTAGCGCAATATTTTACATACATTAAGTAGGGAACACAATATGTAATCTGCAGGGATCTAACAGAGATTAGAGAGGGAAATACCAGCAGTTAACTAGGCAAACACAGATGGTGTTTTAATAGGGGTTTAGATAAATCACAAAGGGTTGAGTTAAACCCTTTGCATTCCTCACTGATTCAAGCAAATACAGTATGTGTTGTCTGCATACATATGTGCAGTTAATTTGCATTCTTCACCTGCAGAGGCCGACAAATCCTTCTTGCTGCCGTTAACGTCCTCCATACTTCGTGCGCAGGAATCGATCTCCGAACCTGATTTAGAAGCATCACCCTTGATACACAAAAGCACACACAAAGTGTTAGAGAAAAACACCTCTTAAAGTCTCAGTTTCTTAGTAGAGTTAACAGAAAGCAGGGTGGAGGGGGGGTTGAAGTTGCCTCTGAGCACAGATCACTGCTTAGCTGTATCTCAGTCGCAAATGTCGCATCAATCCTTGTTCAGATCTGACCTAGAGGCAACCTCCCTCTTGTAAGCAGGCCGGTGAGGTATTGGTCTCCCTGATCCCAAAATTCAAAGGTCAAAGGGTACAGAGAGAGGGTGAGAAAGAGTAACTGTGTAAAATGTCTTCATGCAAGGAGGCGCATAGAGAAACCACACTGAGACCCAACCAGGCAAATGCAACAAAGCAGTTTTCAGAGAGAACCTGGCCAATATATTGAGTTCAATTTATTGTGCAAAAACACTGTGGCCGCATAGTAATTCTTTTTACTTGCCGTGACCCGTAAACAGCTACAAAAGAGCTTCAGTGTGGTTGCTAGATCTACAATTTTCACACTTCACAAACACACAACACACTCTGAGTGTACTTCTTGTGGTGTAGAGCAATTTGTAAATCAGCAACCCAGTTAGACTTTTGTCAGAACAGCAGAACTGTTTATGCCTTGTTTTGTTCTCTATCATTGTTCCAGACAGTGAAGTCAAAATGAGTTTTTCTCAGTATCTCACATTCACATATCTTCCTACTCCTCCTTACTATCTTCCACAGACTTGTCTCAGGCTCTTAATTATTCTCTTCTAGCCTCTGTTTCACACTGCCTTCCATTTACAAACCTACTGCAGTGAATCTCAGAGTTTCTGCTTGTATTTGTTGCACTATGCCAGAGCCTGCAGACTCCATTAATATGTGCGAGGGTGCCAGGTGGATGCTGGATTAATAGAATGCCGACCCAGTGAGTCAGACCTCTGTGGTAGCAAAGTGAATAAACTGTGTGCAGAAAAGCCTCGGGACCTAATCACCACGCACCTCCTTTTAAACTAACAAATTACTTTCTTGATACTTCCCATGAGTGTGAGAGAAAGACAAAGTGGCTGTCGATATATTGCATATTGTATTTGTTTACTGATGGCGTGTTGGGTATGGCTATCTTTGGGGCACTTATTTGCATTTTTTTTCTTGTAGTTAAAGCCACTACTTGTGTGCAACAGACTGATTTTCCTGGACCTGTGAAGTGTGGGAAAATTAGGTAAGGAGAGCGGACGCTAATGAAGTAGGAGGCCAGTCAACTCAAGGGCTGCTTGGAGGCTGCCGTGGTTGCCATGCTCATCATGTTTTTGCATCTATTTATTTATCACAGTGGCTCGTTCATGTTTAAAAATGCGGTAGGAAACATGGAGCACATAGGAATTTACTGCTAATTTGTCTGTCACTGTTATTGCTCGTTCTGTATTTAATCTCACATTGATAACCAAAAGGGGACAAACAGCAAACTTGCATATTTGTGCACCCGGAACCAGAGAATATTTAGCATTTTCAGCTAAGTTAGGTATGGCAATGTCCTTTGGTCTGTTGGTCCACCATTTTGTTCCAGAATTAAATACATCAACAACTGTTATAGATGTTGTACAAACATTCATGGTCTCCACAGGCTGAAACCAACTGACACTGGTGTCTTTTCCTCTAGCACCGCCATAGATTGATACTTATGCCTTTTAGTTAAATACCTCAACAACTATTAAATGGATTGGTACAGACATTCAAGCTCTTCACAGGATGAACTGAACCGAGTTACTCAGTAGTCAGATTGAAAAGGTGTAATGTCCAACAGTGTTAACCCTAGACTACCCTTCTATTTTTTAAGAATACTGTGCACTTAACACAGAAACATGGTAATTTCCTTGACCAATGACTGGTGCTTTCTTGTATTCTTATATATTCTTATATAACTGTTCCTCTGATGTGGGTGACTGTTCCGTTTTAGTACTTCTTGACCTTAGTTCTGCATTTAACACAGTAGACCATCGTATCCTAATTAAGAGACTATGTAATTGGGTAGGTATATCAGCATTAGACTGGTTTTCATATTATCTTACTGACAGAAGTTCCACTGTCTCCATTGGAGATTTTGTGTCCGATTCCTCTCCTCTGTCCTGTGGTGTCCTGCAGGGCTCATATTTGGGGCCTTTATTATTATTTTTATACTTGCTGCCCCTGGGTCAGATCAGAGACAGATTTAATATAGCATATCATCTATTTGCAGATGATATCCAAGTCCACTTTTTTCTTGAAACCTAGTGAGACGTTCAGGTTATCTAGGCTCTTGGACTGTGTTAATGCTATCTGGGACTGAACTGTAGAAAATGTTCTAAAGCATGACTACTCACTAGATCAAATAGACAGTCCTGCATTACCCCTATACTGAGGTTCCTTCACTGGCTCCCTGTTGCATATAGGATACAGTTTAAAACTCTCACCCTTACATACAGAGCTTTGCACAACCAAGCTCCTGTATATGTAGCTGAACAACTGCAACCTTACACATCAACTCGCTCCCTTAGATCAAATGTGCTAAATTTTCAGTCTCTCCCACGCACCCGCCTCTAAGACCCTTGGTGATCGAGCTTTTGAGGCAGTAGCACCTAGACTGTGGAATGCTCTGCCCCCAGTCTTGCGGTGTGTGTATTCTGTAGACAGGCTTTTGGGTAATGTACATGTATCACGTCTGCATTTTATGTTTTTATGGCATATTTTTTATTGTATTTAATGCATGTGTATGTATGTATGTGTGTATATATACATATGCATATATATATATATATATATTTTTTTTTTTATGCTTTGTATATGTTGTGTATATATATATATATATTTATACACTGCTTTATTCTATTATGCATTGTGCCTCCATTGTTGCACATTGCCTCTGTAAAGCACTTTGTGACTTATGTCTGTGAAAAGCGCTCTATAAATATATTTTACTTACTTTTACCTGCTCAGAGGCAACTTTGTCTCTTTCTGCCCTTTCAGTTGTCAGGCTGGTTGAACCATTGTACAGCATTTTTCTGCATGTACAAAACATTACTTTTTCTGCAAACTCTTCATACAAAATAGCATCTATTTGTAAAGAGGACTTTCTACATCTTAAAAGCATGAAAGAGCATTCAAAAAATACACACTAGTCCTCTAAGCAATATGACTGTACTGAATCAAGCTTTTGTGGCAGGCTATTCCACACATTTAAACAGTTTAGTGTATATTTTAGAAATGTCTGGGCATAGAGATTATACTGCAGACAAATGTTCACACATCCACCATCACACAGACATACTGCTAACCAAACACACATCCCACACCCACAACAATTTATCACCACACATAAATTTAAAATAAAATCTGTTTTAACCACAGCAGGAGCCCCTCTCCCACAGGGCTCATCAACCCACACACAATCAATCAGACAGGACAGCTGTGATAGGACAAACCCAGTGGAGCACTATTAGCACTAAGCATTGTGGGTGCTCAACTTTACTGTATCTCCTTTCCTTTTCCTGTGTTTTTAGGTAAAGGGGGACGGGTAAGAGAGGAGAGGAGCTGTGTTTTTGGTTTTGGTTTTGGTTCCTGCTGAGCGCTGATCACTTAGGAGCTTGTATCTGCAGTAGCCTCTGGTCAGTGTAAAGGTCAGTGTGACAGAGTGTGAGAGTGTGTGTACTCACAGCAGTTAGGTCAGGGGCTTTATTGTGAGGACCTTGTAGTATGAGCTGACAGGCCCAGGTGAAGAGCGACAAGACAACCTGACCTTCTCCTTTCTGAGGCACACAGACTAAAGCTGTGTTTCCACCGCAGTAACGTTCCCCTGGGACATGGAAACCTTTAAAGGAACACCAACCGCACGGACCAGTGTCTAAATTAAGTGAAGGGTACGTTATTTAAGCCCCCAAAATGTCCCTGCTTGGGGGTTGGTACTTTCTGAAAGTACAGGAATTATGGGAAGTGGTGGAATACTAGCAGCATTTTATTTCAGCCACCTTTTTTTTTTTAATCTAGTTTGTTTTTTCTTCAACACATCAACACTGAGTTAGAGAAGAAAGCAGAATCAACAGAAGGACCAATGACAGAGTCTTGGCCTTGTTGTTGTATAGTCACATGCATAAAAATACGTAGACAGCTGTTGGTTTTTCATACGTCATTACGGATTAATTTGTCTGAAACATAGACAGGAACAGGCTGAAGGAACCTTTTAGGTTTGTAAAAGTTCAGGGAACTTCACATGGAAACGGGGCTAGAATAGGTGGCTTTAACCAGTGTTTGGAAAATTGAGGTTCATCACTTTACTTAATTTACAAGGGGTTTTCCACTGGCTTTGAAATAGTCTAAATGTAATACTGATGTCTCTATATTAC